ATCTTTGGTACTATGTGAGCTCGTTGACAACAACAGCAGTAGCCCCTCATAATCGTCGGGCGGATAGGTCGAACAGACATGGCAGGGCCTTCAGATTATGCAAAGTCCGAGACTCACGTGCTCGATATTTTGCGCCCTTGCAGCCACCTGACGACGATGCCCCGCACCAACATGCTCAGGAACACATATCAATAGACATGTCGCTACTTAAGCAGGTGCATACTAAAGTCTGGTCTGATGCTTCTGGATCTCTCTAGTTCCGCGCAAGAGTTACAAGTGCTCGAATGTCTACACAGAGATGGATGGGTTGTATTGAAGAATGCTGCGAGCATCAAATCTCAACAGCAAGCGCCATTCAACGAGGTAAAAAGTCTGTTCTATTGACATCACAGCTTCGCTGATGAGAATTAGGTTGTTCTTGCTCTTCTGTCTGCTGCACGGAGTGGGAGCAGCGACTTTGAGAGCAGTTACCCTGAGGTTTCATGGCCATCAAACCTACAAAAAGGCCCAAACCCAATTCAGCGACCTCAAAACTGGAGGGGTATGGTGCAAGAACGGGCAACGGATATAGTGGCGATCTCCTGCCACCACTTTTGGGGTGACGAGACGGATATATGGGACTGGGAATATGATACGGGGCTGCGTGGCGATGAGACCGGACAGATGGCATCTGTGGCTGCTACTGGTGGAGACTTGTATGTGAAAACCTGCACCGCTTTTATGTGCTGATGAGATGTTGACATGTTTTAGGCTCATATGTAGTGGCTGGCTACCACGGAGGCTTCCGAAGCCGCGAGGCCAGACTGATCTTGTCACTGTAAAGCATCGATGGAAGCACTTTGGTTGGACAACGCCTTCGAGAGGGCCTTGATGTGCAGTAAATTATGGGAGCAGATACATTCTTAGCATTATCTAGACGGCGGCATATCCGCGGAAATTTGGTGCATTACATAGCAGCATATCAATGGGATCTAAAGATTCAGGAAAGCCATGATGATAACTGATTGTAGTGGCAGGCAGTCGTTGCAATTGGTCGGAAACCTCAAGCCCATCCCCTCCAGCGGTCGTATTATATGTGGACGATGAAAAGAAATCTCCACTGCCAAAATCACCGTTGTTCTTTTGACCAAATCCCAAACCCGAATCTGCATTGCCGGGAAACCCCACATTATAATCACACACAACCGAATGGTACGAGGATGCAGAATGTTGGCCGGAAAATTCACCTCCGTCTTCTCGAGTGGTGGTCTCGCCTGGGGGCCTTTGGAGGCCGTTTTCGGGCGCAGAAATGAAATCTCCACCATCAAAATCACAGAGCAGATTGCCCCCATCCCCAAATCCCATATTCAAATATCCATCGCCAGGAAAACCCTCATTATAATCATACACAGCCGAAGGGTAATCAGAGGATGAAGACTGGTCATGGCCCGGCAGGGGGTTTCGTATAGTGCAGCTGTCTATAACAGGGCTGAACATCGCCTCGGAGAGTGATAATGGTTCTCCTCGACTTTGCTCTGGTGGTGATCTGTTCGGGCTCACCGGACAGATCGGGCTATCAAGAGGGTAATTAGCACTTGGTATGCATATCAGGGGAACCAAAATAGTGTCGTGGGATGGAGCAGCACATACTGTTTCCTGGACTGAGATAGTTGTCTTTGAACCGGGGAGACATTATTGCCAATCTTTTTCCTGGATTCTTCGAGTGTTTGTGTTCTGATCGATTGTCCACTCTTTCGTCTACTATGTAACCGTGAGTACTCATACATATAGCTACCGATGTAACTTACAGAGAGCTTGTCTACTAGCATTCAGGGAATTGGGGACGGCGTGTTTTGGTGCCTGTTCTACTATGCGTGGCACCTGATGATTTATAACTGAATGGCAATTGCGTCCACCAGATGCCTTCTTTAGATGGGTCTCCTGCCCAAGGCTGCCGAATATCTGTTCCAAAGCGAGCACGCGCCTGCGGAGACGCGCAACCTCCTTTGACAATATGTAGCAGTCATGACAGTTTGGTACGGGTTGCACCTTTTTGGCTGGAGCGCGTTTAGCTCGGCGGGGCTTGACATGGGGACGTTCTGGAATGAAATGATACTCTGCATCAAATGTTATTAGAAGCTAGATTTCAGTAAGGCACTGCTACTTACCCATTCTGTGAGTGAAAAGAAATTGTCTGTGGGCATTCACAGTAACCCTTGGTTGTCCCAGAATATTGGTCTCAAAGTGTATTCGGAAATCAGACGGGATAATCCTGTTTGCTATTAAGCATGTACCAGAGAAGATTACAATAGAAAAGGTTGAGACGTTTTCCATTCAGAGTCTTACAGAGGAAGCATCTCTTATTCAGTGGATTCTATCCATGACTGAGCGAGGCCAGTCACCCCGCATCACAACCGTACGAAATATGGCCAATTTGCTTCTTTCTGAACGAGAAATCAAGTCTGAATCCAAACCCCCTCCAACAGTGGGTGAATGCTGGGTACGAAACTTTGTTAATCGTCATGAGGAGTTAAAATCAACATTCTCTCGAAAGTATGATCACCAGCGAGCTCTATGTGAGAATCCTGAGATTATTCGTGGATGGTTTAATCTCGTACGAAACACCATTGCAAAGTATGGGATTGCACAGGAAGATACATACAACTTTGATGATGAGACTGGATTTCAGATGGGAGTTATTGGGACAGCCAGAGTAATTACTGGATCTGAGAGAGTTGATCGTCCGAATCTTATACAGCCTGGAGATCGGGAATGGGCCACTGTTATTGCAGGAGTTAATGCAACTGGTTGGGCTTTACGTACGATGATTATTCTAAAGGGAAAGATGCATCAATCCCATTGGTATGAGACTGAGAAGCTGCCACATGACTGGGTGATTGGAGTCAGTGAGAATGGATGGACAAATGATAAGCTGGGGTTGATCTGGCTTAAGGAGATATTTGACAAGGACACTCGATCTCGTACGAAGGGCAAATATCGACTCTTGATCCTTGATGGACATGGAAGTCATGCTTCAGCAGAGTTTGATCAATTCTGCTCTGAGAATGACATCATTGCTCTCTACATGCCATCTCATTCATCTCATCTTCTTCAGCCCTTGGATGTTAGCTGTTTCTCTCCTCTAAAGAAAGCATACAGACGACAGGTGGAGAAGCAAATGCAGCTTGGCATCAATCACATTGATAAGGAAGAGTTTTTGACTCTCTATCCAGCAGCTCATATGGAAGCCCTGAATGAGAACAACATCAAAAGTGGTTTTAAAGCTACAGGGTTAGTTCCGTACGATCCAGAGCAGGTTCTCTCACGCCTTAATACCCAGATGCATACACCCACCCCCCCAGGAACTTCTCATAGTTCTCAAGCCTCCTGGGCCACAGCCACACCACACAATGTACGACAAGTGGATCTCCAGGCCAAGAAGATTAAAGGATACATGCAACATCGTACACAGGGTTCATCCAGTCCAACCAATCGAGCTATGAATCAGCTGATCAAGGGGTGTCAAATGGCTATGTGTAGTGCTGCTATTTTAGCAAAGGAAAACAAGGAACTAAGAGCTGCAAATGAGAAGCAAAAGAGAAAGCGAGGGAAAGGTCGTACATATATAGCTCAGGAAGGGGTTTTAAGAGTTGAAGAAGGAATAGATCGCGTACGAAGTGTCAATGAACAGGAAAATGAGAAGGTTGAGGTTTCTGACTCTCAACCACGAAAACGAGCAGCACCACGGTGCAGTATATGTGGTACTATTGGACATACTGCTCGTACGTGTGAAAGCTGATTTGTAAATGATTCTTAATATGATTAATCTATTTTTCTTATGTGATTGTTGTTCTATTTAGTTATAAACATGAAAAAGAGTGAAGAAGTGATCGGGAAGGGTATTTGATCGGGAAGGTTATTGATTACGTTAGTTAAGTTTCTGAACTGAGAATTTTTGCACAGTTTCACTAAATAAATCAACCCCGGTGGCTGAATGGATAATGCAGTCACCAGATAGCGCCTTGGTGTGGGGATCCAAGGCATGTGAGTTTGAAACTCACAAGGGGACAACATTACATCCAGAGTCAAATTTTCAGCTTTCAAAATAAAAAATGTGAATTTGCTTAAGTAGATATCTTTAAATAAATTTACTATCTGATTTAACTTATTGTTTCTAAGTTGAAAATTTGGTATCACAAATATCAAATTCTGTCCTTCATTAATTTTCTTTATGGTTCTTGTATATTTTTGACATCATTCAACACTAAGCATTCCTTCCGGTTAACTAAATCTCTTGCCTGTAATTTAACATTACTCAAGGATCTGGTCATAAGCCCCTGCC